TTGCCATGCATTGTAAGATTATTGAACTCTAATTACAATGCTTAGCTCAAGTGCATTAAACTTTAATTACAAGGCTTGACTTGGATTTTATGCACAATGCTTTTAATACCTCTTCGTTCCCATTCGATGTGGGACTCTCGGCTTGTCTTGAATGCCTTCAATGTAAGACTCTTGGCTTGTCTTTATGCAAATGCCAAGAGTCCCACATCGAATGGGAATGAAGAGACCATCAAATGGGTTGTGGATAAAACCCAAGCCAAGCCATGAGCATGTAAAGTTGTATGCATTTCGTGGCTACTTGGCTACGATAAAGGGTGTCAAGTTAAGCTTTTTGATATTTTGCTAGTAAAGAGCAAACGGTTCCATTGGACCGCCCAGAATCGGACCGGACCATTGGTCCGGTCCGGTTCCTAGTTCCATGATTTGCTGGTCCAGTTCCCGATTCTAAAAAAAGGAACCGGTATTACCGGTCCAGTTCCCGGTTTCGAGGGAAATCGGGACCGGACCGGGAACCGATCACCCCTAATTTCATAATTCATTATTTTTTTATTTCATAATTTATTATTTTAATTTTTAAATTACGAATCGAAACTGGTCGGAACCGGAACCGGAACCGGCCGGTTCCGAACCATGGCCATGTCTACCTACAGGGCATGTCTCTTGTCCCACATCACTTAGGGAGGGAGTTCTAGGCTAATTTATAAGGTTTGGGTCATTTATTCTGTGTAACGCGTTTTAAAGTCATAAGAGCCGAAGGCCCAAAGCGGATAATATTACACAGTGGTAGACCCCGGGTCCTTGCATGTTACATCATTAAGAAGCTAGAAATCAAGATGATTAATCTAGGATATATCAGAAGTAGTCAGTAGAAATAAAAATAAAATAATTTTCAATGATGAAATTCTTCATTTATCTCTATTGGTTTTAATAGTGAATTCGCAGAACACACTAAATAGCTAGTTAACCTCAAATCAAGAAGACGTGGGAAGGGAGAATCATTGAGTCCGAAGGAAATCAGGTGTTCGAACGAAAGAGCAAACTAGGTTTGGATGGAAGTAATAGTAAAGCTACTGTCAAGAGATAATGCTTTGTAATGAAGATTTTTTACCAAGCTTTTTCCATTCTATTTTGGCCAAAGAAAACGTCATTTCACGGCCCCCCACCATGTCAGTTTGGTACGATTACAAATTAGCTAACCCGTGTGAGAATCCCAACTTTGCCCAATGAGCATTGCAAATTATACCATTTCTTAAAATCCTTAATTAAAAAAAATGAGGTGGTTAATGGTTCCGTTGGAAAATCCTCTGGAAGCACAATAATGGTAATAAGAGAAAATTGTAATAGGCAATTCAGGACCTACTTATCTGAAAATACAGTATGTACACAACACATAAATAAAATAGCTATCACACAACTATCACACACACAATTTATGATTCGTGAAAGCTTACACTTACTATTGCAATTGATTTTCTCGCACGACACGCAAAAACATTTGGAGCGAACTCTTTTTTATTTCTTGCCTGCACGGATGAGCCAACTCCTTTTTCTCTTCCGTCTGAAGCCCCTCGCAAACTTTCAAAGAACCTTAGCTTATCATGTGGCTTCTGACTAGCGTGTTGATGCAGGTGGGCCGGGCGCGTGGGCTTAGGGAATTTTGGCACGGGCCGGACGTGGCTTTTATCCGGTGGCGGGCTAATTTTTATGGGGCCGGGGATGTTTTCTTTTTATGTCTGTGGCTGGGCCTATTAACAGGCCCAGCAGACTGCAGGTGAGAGACCCGGTTCGGGTCGGATTCGGTGATCCGACCCGGTTTCTTTTATAATATAATAGAATATTATTATTTTAATATTAAAAAATATTTTTTACAAAATAAAAAAATAAAAAAAACCCAAAAATATTTTATATTTTCCAAAAATGAAGAAAAACCCAAAAAAATAGTTTATTGGCTAATTTTCTACACAAATGCATGGAAAATCTTCAAAAAAAAATCCAAATAAAAAAAACCAAATCTCAAGGTTTAAACAAGATTAGGCACGGAAGGGCATTAGTTGATTAACTAGTGTAATCAAGTCTCCGATCCTAGTTTCTCTAGTTGCATTGACATAAAATATTTCTCCCAATAGTTTACTTAGATTTCTAATCAGCCTATCCCAAACGGTTCACTTCTATTAACCCTCATTATTTCCCACGCAATAGCCACGATAAGTAGATGTTGATTCGTGAGATAGAAATACCGACTTTCCCATTTGCGAAATACAATGATAGAAAAAGCCACCAACCGATGCAATGACTGCTTGGTAACTGTGAATGAAGTGATTTGGGTCATTCCTCATTCAAATCGACCTTGCTTTTGACTTGAACAAGTATGGAGGCATTTGTGAATTGAAGATTCGTTGATGGAACCCGGATAGAGATGGATAGAGCCAAGCTTGAGAACGAGCGGAAGAGGGCTCGAGAACTAGAGAATGGTGCTTCTCATCCGCCAGAAGGAGCTCCAATTGCTTGCTCTTCAACAGCATTGACAACATTCATCCAACAAAAGGAGTGGCGACAGCGATGAGGGTTGAAAGGCGAAGGATTTCGAAAGAAACTAAAAGAAAAAACTCCGGCTCAACCCAACCATGGCCGATTTGAAGGTGGAGATGTTGTGTGACTTACTCGATGGAGGATTGATAGCTTTGGACCGTATGCTTACAAGAAGTTCGGGTCTTTCAAAATGGGCTTCGGGAATTGGTTGGTACTTCATTGATCAGTTAAATTCCACTCGTACTCATCGGCTAAATTTTGCTCTCTTTATGCTTTCTTTTTTTTGGGCATAAACTTATTGGTGGAGAGGAATCACAACACGTGTGTGTCTGCTTGTTCCATGAGTTATAAAGGATTTCTAAAGAACACCTACAGTCTTTGAGACGCTTGGAATTGCATGATTTTGAGTCAAATGCTTTACTAGCGATTGATGATCATTTTCAAGTTCAAGGCCTTGACAGATTGAAAAACTTGAAGGAGCTGCTTTTGGATAGGTGCCGGTCCCTTATAAGACCAAACCTTTCACAATTAACACATCTGAAGTTTTTAAGAGTCGCAAAATGCCACAATCTAGTCGAAATTAATGACCTCGAGAAAGAATTGGTCCCCATAATTGGCAATAGGAACGTTGATGAGTTTATGTCGACAGTTGATATGGTTATCGACCAAGCGTGTATTGCATAATTAAATCCATGGTTCAAGAAGACCAAGACTTGGCCTATTAAATGGAGTGGGACAAATCCGCAGCACGTAGTTACACTTAGGGAAAATTCCATTTTGGTATCCCAAGTGGAAGCGTTTTCTCAATTTGGTACCTAAAGTGGACACGGTGTCAAATAAGGGTATGAAGTGCTCAATTAGTCTCAAATAAGGACCCGAAGTACCCAAAAAGTCTCAAATAAGGGCCTGGGTCGCCGGGCGGCCAAAATTGCTTGCCGATCGGCAAGAATGTTACTGATTCGGCACTGGAACAGTAACTTTTTTATTATTTTTCCTTTCTGCCTTTTTTTTCCTTTTCCTTTTCCTTTTCTTTTCTCTTTTTTTCTTCTCTTCGTCCGCCGGCCATAGCCGGGGCCGGCGGAGGTCGCCCACCTCAAGCGGAGGCGGCCCTCGCCGGCGTCGGGCGAGGGCTGCCCTTGCCTGGGCTGGGCGAGGTCAGCCTCGCCAGTTGCCGACAAGGTCAAGCCTCGCCAGATTTGGCGAGGGCTCGGGCCCGCCGGCCGCTGGCGAGGCTCGACCTCGCCAACGTCAGGCGAGGGCTTGGGCCCGCCGGTCGCTGGCGAGGCTCGACCTCGCCAACGTCGGGCGAGGCCGGCCTTGCCGTTGCAGGCGAGACCGACCTCGCCGACGTCGAGCGAGGCCGACCTCGCCGTTGCAAACGAGACCGACCTTGCCCGACACCGGCGAGGTCAAGCCTCGCCAGCGGCCGGCGAGGTCAACCTCGCCGGCAACGTTGGCCTCGCCCAGCAACGGCGAACCTCGCTAGATTTGGCGAGATTCGACCTCGCCATTGCTGGGCGAGGTCAGTCTTGCAACGGCGAGGCCGGCCTCGCCCAACGCCGGCGGGGCCGAGCCTCGCCAATGCCGGGCAAGGGCAAGGCTTGCACCTCACCAAGAAGCGGCGGCCGACGCGCGGCTGTCGGCGAGGCGGGCCTCGTCGTTGCGGCGAGACCGACCTCGCCCGACGCCGTCGAGGTTGGCCTCGACCTCGCCGTTGCTGGGCGAGGTCGGTCGAGCCTCATCGGCAACTGGCGAGGCTGACCTCGCCCGACACCGGCGAGGGCCGCCTCCGCCTTAGGCGAGCAACCTCCGCCGGGCCCAGCTATGTCCGGCGGAGGAAGAGAAGGAAAGAAAAAAAGAAAAGGAAAAAAAAGGAAGAAAGGAAAAATAATAAAAAAAAGTTACTATTCCGGTGCCGGAACAGTAACATTCTTGCCGGCCGACAGGCAATTTTGGCCGGCCGGTGACCTAGGCCCTTATTTGAGATTTTTTGGACACTTCGATCTTTATTCGAGACCAATTAAGCACTTCGGCCTTATTTCGACACCACGTTCACTTTGTGCACCAAATCGAGTAAAACACTTCCACTTATAAGTACCAAAATGGAATTTTCCCCTTACACTTATTGAAGACAAAGAAAGAGGAAATCTGAAGGGCCCACGCCCACGTCTCCCCCGCGTCCATTTTTCTCTCCACGTGCATGCGTGTCCACAAAAATTGGCAGGCGCCTCGCGAGAAAATATTGGTGCAGGCCCGGCCTCTCCACGTAATCATGGGTCGGCCCATTTAGTGGATGCCGCGTGTCGTCCATGGGTCCCACATTTACTCTCTCTCTCTCCATCTCATATGGGTCTTCTCTCTTCCTTTTTATCTCGTGTGTTTTGGCTTCCGAAGATGGGCGTGACTTCTCCTTAAAAACATGGGCAGTTTTTTCTGTTAGCTCCCACGAGAAAACCTCCCTCCTCAAAACCAGTTGCTATGCTTGCTGTATATCCTGAACTGAGTTTAAAAAAAGAAAAAAAGAAAAAAGGAATCTTGCACTCCATGGATGAGGCTTTCCAGGCTCTCGGTGTTGCATTTCGGGGTTTCTTTCTTGAGGTTTCGCAGACTCGGGCATGTTCTTTTATCTGTTGGGCTCTGTGGGAATATCTCTGTTTTTTCATTACATGGGAAAAAAGGTCTGGTTCTGTATGTGGGCATTTGGCCTTGTTGGGGGTAAAAAAAAAGTGTCTTTATTTGCAAAATCGAGAATAGGAGATTCATTTCTGAGAGGAAAGGAAGATTCATAGGAGTGAACTAAAGATAAAAGTTTGTCTTTTGTTTTTTATTTATGTTGATGGAAACCAATGGTTTAGGTGGCTGGTGGCGTGATCTTTGGAGGTATTTGTGAACTGAAGATTCGTTGATGGAACCAGATGGAGATGGAGAGAGCCAAGCTTGAGAAGGAGCAGAAGAGGGCTCGAGGATGAGAGAACGGTGCTTCTCTTCTGCCAAGAAGGAGCTCCAATTGCTCGCTCTTCAACAGCAGCAGCAACATTCATCCAACAAAAGGAGCGGCAGCGGCGATGAGGGTTGAAAGTTGAAGGATTTTGAAAAAAACTGAAAGGAAAAACTCCAGGTCACGCAAAGCCTTCGCCCCCAATTCAAAAATTGTTTCGATTGTGTGTTTCGTTTGACCGGACGGCAGCTCTGCAACAAGGAAGAAAGCTCCGACCACCAACCCAACCATGGCCCCTTCGAAGGTGGAGACGCTGTGTGACTTGTTCGATGGAGGTTTGATAGCTTTGGACCGTGTTCTTACAAAAAGTTCGAGTCTTTCAAAATGGGCATCGGGAATTGGTTGGTACTCCATTGATCGGTTAAATTCTGCTCGTACTCATTGGATAAATTTTGCTCTCTTTATGCTTGTTTTTTTTTTTTTTGGACATACACTTAATGGTGGAGAGGAATCACAATATGTGTGTCTGCTTATTCCATGAGATATCGAGGATTTCTAAAAAACAACCACCCTTTGCTCAATTCGCAGTGCATGCTGGCAGACATTTTAATGAATTTTGTGTGGTATGTTCTGAAATTTTTTAATCCACTGAAAAGTGAAAAGTGGTATGTGCAAGTCTAATACCAGTGGAAGCCGCAAAGCTTTTACTTCTATTTCAATTATTGAAAAACGGGCATTTGCAATCATGGTGTTTTACTTTTTGTCTCGGTTAGTTCTCTGTAATTCGATGCTTTTTCGTGTTTGATATATCTAGGAGACCAAGGTGATTTGGGTAGTACCCTTCCTTTTCATTCAGATGTAAGTTCTTTGGCTGCATTTGATGATTGTGTGTAAGTTGACTATGAGAAGTTGAATTAGTTTGTGAAAAAGATTCATTACCCTACTGTTGTTTGCACTTTTCAGCTAGATCGAGAGTTAGAATTCTATAACTAAGACAGGCCAACGCAAGTTGGTTCTTTCTTGAGGCATAGATCACCAACCACCAACCAAGATAACTCATGTTGGATCTGTGAGATGAGGTATCGAATGTTAAAGCTACTACTAGATTGTGTTTCCTGAGTATAAAATGCAGGTACCTGTGTAATCTGCCTTCTAGTTTTTGGAGTGCTTTTGGTGTGGACTTTATGCAGGAACATTCACCATACTTTGGATCCTTGACCCACATAATGCAATACAAAGGGGAAAATGATGTTTTGTTGCTAGCTAAACATCTCTAAACTCTCATCATCATATTGAAAGCTAATTTATCAATTCCCTATGATTGGCCACCATTGTCCAATTTTTTTAAAAGATTTTTAATCCTTGTACAGATCTTTTGTCCATCTTACTCTAATATTTGGTTCAAGTCCATTCATCAGTGATTTTTCTAATATATCTTGCCTTATGCTGTCAAAATATTCTAAATCTCCTTCTCTTTCATACCTGTCTTTTTTCTTTTGTTGTTTTATCTCTGACTTTATTGGGCAGGAATCTGTTTTTAGATAGAAGATGGCAACCCCAGAAGAAAACAATGATGTGAAAACTCTTGAAACACAGCCCAACAAGCGGAGAAAAAAGAAGTCCATCATCTGGGAACACTTCACAATAGAAATTATGAGTCCTGGATGTAGAAGGGCGTGCTGTAAGCAGTGCAAGCAAAGTTTCGCCTATGGCACAGGCTCAAAGGCCGCTAGCACCAGCCAGCAAAGTAAGATGTGATGAATCATTGAGTGAACTGATCTTGTCAAGTGCAGAAATTTTAGAATTACCTAAATCCATTGGGTATTTGAAAAACTTGAAAATTTTGAATATTGCTTATCAGTACGAAACTGAGTAGTTTACTCGATTACTATTAGCAAGTTGATTAAACTGAAGTATTAATTGCCTCATTCTGCCGAAGTCTCGGAGGGGATGTTCCTATAGATGGGTTGTCTTCGTTGAAGATCCTTCGATTAAGTTATACGTGCATTTATGGCTTCCCCAATGCAACTGCAAAGCTTTTTTTGTCTTGAAGAACTTGATTTAAAGGACCGCAGCATGATTCAGTCGCTACCGAAGCTTCCTACCAGTTTAACAGATCTAGTAGTCAACTGTCATCTTCGCACATTGCCTCAACTTTCTCATCTAATCCATCTAAAACGGCTCAGTTTTCATGATTGCAGAGGCCAACCTTATCTCTTTCGTCCTTTGACAGAGAAGGAACAGATATTTAACAGTTTCAGATTCCTTTTTGCAAAGAGGGCATGTCGACTCAGGTGCAATCTTCCTTCTGAATAGGTTTTCTCTTGTGGGTAGGGTGTTTTGGCACACCCTTCACCTAAATACCCTTTCTTTGGGTTGAGTCTTTAGATTCCATGCCTTAGTCCAGAGGGCTTTTGGAATTTGGTAGGACGATGAGGCTTGATTCGCTTCATGCTTAGTCTCAATGTCCTGGAGTTGGTTGGAGCCACTTTAACAACGTAGCCTCCTGCTTGGTTGCGTGTCCAGACTGGCTTGTCTTCCGTCGGTGTTGTTAAGAGTGGGATATCTAGAATATCATTTACTATATGCTCATCAAAAAGAGAGAGCAGCATGTACTCATTCCATTGCACTTCCTTAGTATTTCTATCACCCCATTTCAGCCGGTATATTCTTGAGCGCATACCCCAGTACATTTCTCCTGGTTTCCACAGATCTTCGATTTGCATTTTCAGTCGCTGCATTTTGTCCCAGTCATGCAAGCTCTGCTCATTTGTTGAATCCTAAAGCTCCCTATTCAAGCAATTGATTGGACTATTAGCATTAGAGAACTTCTGCTTGCTCAACTTCTTTAGAGCCTCTATTACTTTTTGTAGTTTCTTCAGAAAGTGTCATTTCCATGCCTGGAATATTCCACATTGAACTTACTAGCTGACCACATTCATAATCTTCAAGCCAGCATGCTTCTAACTTCATTTCTCTATTTCTTTTTGCAGGTTCCGCTGAGAGAGTTAGCAAGATAGGACTATGGTCCGAGCCTATAGCAAGTAATGCATATGCTTCCACTTCTGGGATGTCACTCTCCATTCTACATTGCATGGAGCTCTATCTAGTCTTTCTTGCACAAAGGCATCCCCAATCCTATTATTTGCCTGTGTAAATGCGCATCCTTTGCATTCAAGATCTATTAGAGAGCATGCATTTATAATGTTTAATGTCTCAAAAAGCCACTAACCTATGGTGCTCCACCATTTGCCTGCCTACTTTTTCCCGGTGATACAAAATTTCATGAAAGTCCAGTCCCCCCCCCAAAACCAAATCGAAGGAAGCTGGTTGTGGGACTAATTATTGGAGCACGCACAAAGGGAATTCTCATATGTTTTCCACTTTCTGTACAAATTAGGTCAAAATTTTCATTTGTGACTAATTCCATTGTTAGCGCTACCCTATCATTCCGTAAAATTGCTAATCCCCTTGTAATTCCATTTGAATTCATCACTGCATTGTTCTGGAATTGGATTTGTTTCAAGCTTATACCACAGGTTCTTGATTCGAAAAATAATGACAGGCCTTTGCATAGCCCCAATGCCAAGATTTTCTAGGGCATGCCCAACCCCTAACAATTCCAGCATAAAATTTTCATGGGAATCTCGGTGGCTTATTAGTGCTAGCCACCAAAGCCCATGTCTTAGGATCCTCCAAAACCTGAATTGGAGTCTCCAAAAGTTTGGTCTCATTTAAGGCAAGAGAGTTCGCCTTTTGAGAAGTGTAAGGAGTATACCTTTACTGTGTTTTGTTTCCACCTGTTTTCTTCCCCTTGCTACATTACTTTTGGGGGCCTTTTGAGCTGCCTTCCAGCATTGTAGAGTGGCTTGGAGCTGTTATCAGCATCAAGCTCTTTTCTTAGTGTTTGTATGGACCGATGCCACCTTTTCCAATTGCTTCTATCTTCTCGGCAAAAATCTGTGCTGACTTTTTCAGATTGTTCCCACTACTAGGAACCAACGGATTCTATCCCCTAGGCTCCTAGGACACCATTTGTAGGGTGGGGGTAGGAGTTTCTGGAATAATCTCATCATCTATGGTTATATCGTCTGGTTTTGCATAGAACAACTTCCAAATAAGGCCAAACAACTAGGATCATTAGTTTCTAACCGGTTCTCATCATATTCTTCTTCCTCACAGAACTTAGCATAATGCCCTATGCAACCACATGCATAACAAAAGTGCGGTAATCTCTCATATTAAAACTCGACCCATAGTTTCTTTCCTCCTTGGCTGGAAAATTTCGTGGTTTCAAGGGGGATGAAAGATCAATTCTTACTCTAGCTTTTCCACCTGTATAGGAGCTAAACCCCTTTGTATCAATTTTCACTTTAGTTACCAAGCCCGCTGCCGCTGCTCTTCACCTTATGGTTTCCTCTGAGACCCAATCCGCAGGTAATCTGTGCACTTGCACCCAGAACTCGTAATGTGTGTAATCGTAACGGTACTGTGAAGTAGTTGGCATCCATAGTTTAAGCACCAAAAGATTGCTAGAGAAAGACCAAGGCCTTGTCTCAAGAATTCTGTTCATTTCATTTTCAGACTTAAAGGTAAAGGCTAAAGTTCTCGAGTCTACCCAACTAGAGGTAACTGAATCCACTCTCCATGCCCTCTTCATAGTGTTTTGGAAGGCTTGGAGATTGATATTGGGGTTGGAGAACAATTGCCCAAACATAGTTAGACGACATTCTTATATTCTCTCAGTCGGGACCATACCATCTATCTCTGCCAGGTCTTTTTTCTAACAAAAAATTGCCCAATTTTCTGCAGAGGATAGTAACTCGAGAACCTAAGGCATCTAATTCTTCCACTGAAGATGCACGAGAGGCAGACAACTTACTTCCTGTGAGAAAAGTACAGCAGAAGCAGCTATTCCTGTAAATTCGTTCTCGGGTTGTATCCTGATATACAGTAATGGCAAAATACTGTCCAAAGACAATGCAGTGCTCTGGGAGGCTGATGGGGTAGCGGGGAATTTTGGGTTTGATATTTGGGCGAGGATTAACCAGGGTTGTTCCTTACTGCATCAGAAGCGAGGACTTCCAACTACAACTATAATCTTGACATAGGAACAGCTCAGTAGCAATTTTAGGAGTAAAAATTGACTTGGGAGATACTAGTCATGCTCTTTATTATCATTTGCACATTAGTTGATGCGTGTCTCTGAATTTTGATGAGAGAAATCGTGTTCTTTTATTTTCATTTACACAGAAAATACCAAAATGATGGAGAACACATATGCCCCATGTAGAATTATGAAGAATATTTGCATGACAAGACACGACGACGTAGATCGGATTCGGAGATTGTCCGTGTTTCCTAGTAAATGTAAATATAGCAGGTAAAGTATCGTATTCATTTGAGAGCACCTACTTCACATTAGTATTTTCAGTTTGGCATGGGGCTTTTTGTGTCGATGTCTTATTGTTTTCCTCTTATTTCAAGGACCCTTGGGGAAATTGGTCGGCAACGTGAAGGTGATGCTTCAGCATCATCTGGCTTGTGATCCTGGTAGGAAAGAAAATAGATAAGAATGCCTTGAAATACATTGCATGTCATTATAGCCGTCACTCACGGAGTAAGACTCTTCATCCTTGACATGATATGAATATGTTCTTATGCAGAGTATTACCATTTCCCATGTTCTATTAAGGTTGGTTTCCAAGAGCACAAAATGTTTCTTATGTGCTCCTTTCATTCATTCATGCATAATAAAAAAAGATTTTCATTACTTGTTAGGAAAAGTTCCACCCAAAAACATAAGCTATTAGTTAGAGGTAGACTGCTTGCATATAACCCCTGTTGAAATCCTTTATTCAACCAACGTGGAATAATACTTTTAACAATTGATTGATCATGGTAATTACTCATTTCTGTGTATTTTGTTATTGGTCGAGACTGATATCATTGAAGATAAAAGGTTCATAGACAAAGAGCCCAAACCGAGGGCAATTACTGTCTCTGTGGTTTTGATTGTATAATTTAGTAGCTTATTCTGTCATGGATCTATATTCCACTTTGTTTGTCAATTGAGGTGCTAATACATAGATTGCTGAATCTGATGGTGGATTTATGGCCTTGATCCTGTCAAAAGTAACATCCTGTACGGTGGAAAAACTGGCAGGAATCATGTTGCGCTCTTTCTTGTTTTTCGTCATGCCTATGTCCATCTCACATGTCCGTACCATCAGTCATTGTCTTTACATATCGAATTTGCATCCTTCTGTTCGTTCTTCACTTGGTGATGACAATTTCTTATGCCCTTGATGCTTTAAATGACCAGGAGTTTCACTGTAATTTTTGACAATGGTGTAAGATCCAAACCAAATATCTGGGATATGGATGCAAAAGGGACGTTCTTTAAGCCGGTTACATTGCGTCATGCTTTATGAACGGGAGCTGTCCATCGTAGTAATGAAAACAGGTGCTTTACTTCATTCTTGGGACGTTTGAGAGCTGATCTGGATCCATGAATGCCCATCTTTTCTTGAAGTATTACTTAATCAAATCAGAATACTTTCTTGCAAATGCCACCGCAGCAGAACAGAATTGGAAGTTCAACCTACTAAATACGAGAGGACCGCAGTAATGACCAACTACGGTCCCAGCTAGAAATGTCTACTATTTCGGTTGTAATGATACTTAGTAAACTTTTTTTATTTTGAAGGATAGTAATTTTCCTCAAATTTTGGTTATGTCACTTGTAACTTTTTCATAAATATCAAGATTTGGGCTCGTAAATTGTACTTTATGTTATTTATAAGGGTTAATACCCTGAAAAACCCCAAACTGGTACACCTGTGTTATATTTACCTCAAACTAATTTTTTGATAACGAAAAACCCCAAACTGGTACACTTTTGACAAATTTACCCTAAACTAATACACTTGTGACAAATTTACTCTCTGTTAGTTTCTATTAAATTTTATTGTCAAATTGCTGAGTTAGATGACACGTGACAGTTGACTAATGTACCAAGTTGGGATTTTACTCTCCGTTTGTCATTGTTGTACCGGTTTTGTGTTTTTTTGTGGTATTAATTCAATTTAACATAGGGTATATTCGTCACAAATGTATCACTTTGGGGTTTTTTATGGTCAAAAAAATTAGTTTTGGGGTAAATTTGTCACAAGTGTACCAGTTTTTGATTTTTTGTAGCCATTTGGGGTAAATTTATCACAGGTATATTAGTTTGGGGTTTTTTGTGGTAAAAAAATTAATTTGGGTAAATTTGTCACTGGTGTACCAGTTTAGAGTTTTTCAGGATATTAACCCTATTTATAAACATGCATATAAGGATTGCAATTAATCTGCTGTGTAACAAAGAGTAAGAATACCTGTTAATAGTTTTCCCTTAAGATCCTACTCCTGAATCGACCATATATACCCAACGATACATATCATTATTCATTAGCACCGCTCTGTGTCAGCCAAAAAGTTCGAAGCCCACGAACTTCGAGAGACACAACCCTTAACTATAGGAGCCTAGCTTCATGTATGACTTAAAGAGCTCCTCATCTTCATTTTCTGACGGAAGCATTTATTTCATATCTTTTTGCTATTAGCCTTATTATCTGCTACATGGTAATCTAGGTAGTGGTACTACCTTCATCCTGCTTGTGATGCCCAACTCTTTTCGAACTTCTGCGAACTTAGACTTGTTAATTGGTTAATGACTATGGCTGCAAATAATTGGTTGGGCTTCCTGACTCAATTAGCCATATGGTAAATTTGTTGATCCTTGACTTGAGAAATTTCTTCTGTCTATATAAGACTTTTAGAAAGCATCGGATCCCGTGTGAAATTGTGGTGCCTGTCATTAGGCACAATGAGGTTCCCAGACGGAATCGATCACGCACGAAATGATGCCTAACTCACTTTGCTTTTCGTTTTCTCCTTTTTCCTTTAATTTATGGGCCACGTCATATATTGTGTTGCTTGGCTTCCTTTCAAGAATTGCAAATTGGCACAAAAAAAAATTATAAACAAGTGGAACGTGAGGTCCCATAACTAAATTGTTTGTCATTAAAATGGGTTGCTTAATTGTAAAACCACTAGTATTAAGAACATGTGGGCCGAAAGTTAAAGAAACGAAGAAAGAAAATGAGTACCCTCCAGTAAAATTGTTTAGTTTTGTTATTTAGTTTTTTTTTTTGGTCAGAAGTTTTGTTCTTTAGTTCATAAGTTAATAAAAATCAAATTATTGATGTGCTTGCGAAAAGAAAGAAAGCAAAATTTCTTAGAGCTTAGAAATAAGCTTATAAAATCAAAGACATCTCATGTGCAGATCTAAAATACATATAATGAATCCATCTTATTAGATAAACGCATAGTGGTGCTCCTGAGCTCTTTCAATGTGTTGTTGACATGTGGTATCCTCCACGAGTGACATCTTTCTTTACCTTTTTTTAAAAAAATTTCCTTTTATTTTTTCATTTTACTTGAACTAAAAATTTTCCATCTTAATTCAAGGGGCATACAATTCCTTTCAATATCACGAAAGTCCCATGTTCTTATGACGATCGAGTATGATTATGTCGGTTGACCCCATTCGCTGGACAATGCCTAGAAGGCAACGGCTAAGCATGCGCAGAGGAAGAAAACTTTAAGTGAAAAGGAAAGTTCCGCTTGGAGCAGTGAATGGAATGCTGATCATTCACTGAATAATGCCAAGAAGGCGCAGATCCAGCACTTTTCTAAATCCAGGTCAATTGACCCGTTTATTTAACTAATTACTTCAATTAGATTAGTTCATTGTAATCATTATCAATGAAGAAATGGTGACTCCTGAGAGCCAATAAGAGTAATTCGCTGTTTGTTAAGGCTATCGGCAGTTCGGCTCGGATTTTTAGGAAAATTAAACCTAATTGAACCGTTTGAGTGTGCACCAAAGACTCGATTTGGTTCAGTTCGGTCCAATTCGATCTTTTAATTTTTCTTTTATTTTAATATTAAGAAGAGGTTTAATGAATAGAGAGAGAGATTGTGTAAATTGTAATATTAAAAAGAGATGCAATTTTCAGTTCGATTTGATTAATATCCGAACCGAAATAAATAAATAAAACAAACGGTTATTTTTCATTATCCAAATCGAAAGCGAAACTAATCTGAAAATGTATAGAATTTCGGTTCGATTTTTTGGTTCTGTTCTGACACCCTTACTGATTGTTAAGGCTATTAGGGATCATACATCGAGGATCACAAGAAGGCAATGAGGGAAGAACTATTTTAAGTCAATTACCAATCAAATTCTTAGTCCAAATATGAAGGCATCTCCAGATTCTCAATATGAACCGAAGAAATATATGAAACGACAAGCTTAATTTGAGAAATTTTTGAATTATCTGTCAATCCCTATTTGGCACTTCATCTTCCTGCTTTCCCTTCCTTTTTACCAACAGTGCTATAAATGTGGAGCGGAGACCGTCGGAGTAATCATTTCGTGCTCAACTTTTATACTATCACTATATCGAGGATCACCGGTCAGCATGTATTATTCATTTATGTAATGAACATCTAGTCTAGAACTATACACTCTAATATGTATATGCAATGGTAGTACTCCTGTTTTTGTTTATTTTTAGTGCTTTCCTTGTACCATATTTTCTTGAGACATATGTATATATGTACGTGTGTGGTTTCTTTTTTTGTTATTCAAAATTGCATGTAGCGGAGAGATTAATACTTCATTGATGAAATTTGGGGTTTTGATGATGCTGGCGAAGTGTTAGAGGAGTCATAGATAAGCGCTATCATAATCAAATTTGAGTGATAATTTTCTCTTCTTTTGAAGAATGATTCGCTTCCTCCATTGAAATCTCTTTGGTTCTGTTTATTCCCTTACGCAAATTCTTTCCAATTCATATTATCCATGAGGATGCTCGACTAGAAGAACAAGTGCTTCAACTAACCCATATGTTCTCTTCAGGAAATCCCTTAAGCTTAGCTATCCCAGTCTCTTAACAATTCTTTCCATGGTAAATCATGAGTATGTTTTTTATCAACTGCTCTATTTTCTTCACAAGATTCCCCGGCCATTTTGGATTCCTTGATCGGACTTATGTGTCAAACTTGACCAAGCGCGGAATATCAATCAAATTCATTCCGTCCGGAAAAAATCATGTTCCGATTTTATGTTATGTTCATTCAAGCGTCATAATATAGCAGTTGAGGCCCGAAATGTATGTGTAGTTCTAGTTGATGTGCTGGACCAAGGTAGAGCACACAAGCCCCCCAGACAATTACTGTGTAGATAGGTTTCTTGAAGGTTCACATGCCTTCACCCCAATCGGGAAAAGATCTCGAGAGATGGTCCACAAAACGCGTAATGATGGTCAAGCCGAGAAATTTTTTTTTTTGCTATTCACGGTTTCGGAGGAGTCGGTGAAGGAAAAAAAGCCAAGAAAATTTTTTGGTGAAAGCGCACAAGATGTGGGGATGAAGATAACGGCGAGTGGAGCGTAGGGTTTCTGAAAAAATAGGCATTAGAAATCTTATCCGGATCTATCCCACCTCCCCCCCTCGGATTTTTTTATCCGGGCTATATCCGGTCTATATCCGACCTTATCTTATCCCGGACCACCACCAAACACATGATAGGATAAAACATATCATATCCTGACTTTTATCCAATCGATCAAACGCAGTCTTAAGTTTAGCTATCTCTATCCCTTAACAATTCTTTTCATGGCAAATCATGAGTATCTTTTTGATCAACTGCTATATTTTCTTCACAAGATTCTCCGGCCATTTTGGATTCCTTGATTAGATTTACGTGTCAAACTTAACTAAGTGCGGAATATCAATCAAAACTTATTTAGTCTGGAAAAATCATGTTCTGATGTTATGTTATGTTCATTCAAGCGTCAGAATATAGCAGTTGAGGCCCAAAATGTTTGTGAAGTTCTTCTAGTCAAGGCACAAGCCCCCCAAACAGTCACTATGCGGATAGGTTCCTTGAAGGTTCACAACTTCACATGCCTTCACCCCAGTCGGGAAAAGATCTCGAGAGATGGTCCACAAAACGCGTAATGGTGGTCAAGCCACGATGTAGACAAAGCAAAGTGGGTCCCCCCCTTGTCACTCTCTCCAATAATTCTCCTCTGACATTGTTTTTCCAAAACTTCAGGCGGACAATTCGATGAATGTACTGATTGATGTGGGTGCTTTAAGCCTCTTTATCTTTTTTTTCTCTTGAACAGCTAGAGGCAACCAGCGTGTGAAACATTGACGCCAAGAAGCAGAGGTCCATGGCTTTGCAGACTCGGAAAAAAGAGCGGTACAAACGGATGAGGAAAGTGACAAAGGTCCCCGGTTATTATGATGGAAAGACCGATTTTCCCATTTGCAAAATTCAATAATAGAAAATGGCCACCCAACCGATGCAGTGTACGGGTAATTACATGTTGCATTGCTTGGTAATTGATTCAGTAAATAAAGCGGTTTTTGGTCGTCCTTCGTTCAAATCTAATGGAGATACGACATCACTTTTGACTTGTAAGATGTAATGTGTGGCCCACCACACGTCCCATTCCCGACTTAAACGAGTCCTTCCTTCTCATTCACGTCTCATCTTATATCCTTATTTTCTTGTTTTCTATTTTCCTCTCTTTTTTCAATTTTCTTCTAGCCGTCGTTTCACGCCCAAAGACAACCTTTTTTTATCTCTCTCTCTCCCGCTCTCTCTCTCTCTCTCTCTCTATGGCCACGCACGAAAGGAGTAGTAGCC